GACACACACACACACACATCACCCAAAAAAACAATGAGCTGGGTTTATAAACACAGACACACACACACACACACCCACCACCCTTAAAAAAACAAATGAACAAACTGGGTGTATCTCTCAATCCACCGGGCCCCGATCCAACTCTCTCCTGGACCCCGCTGGCGCGCAGCTCCGCCAACAGCTCCGTGGCCTTCGTCCAGCGGCGGCCCTTCTCGCAGGAGCTGATGGCAGCGGAGAAGGTCACGAGGTTCGGCGCCAGCCTCCAAAGAGAAGCTGAAGGAAGGCCCGTGAACCGAAAGGCCAAGTTCTGAGCCCCAAATCGTTTTACCGCTTTTTGTTTCTTTTGCTTTTCTTGTTTTGCTTTCTCTTTTTCGGCCCCCACAAAAAAAACATATTGGGCCCCTTTATGAATGCGTAACCCACGTTTACCCCTAACATGGAGAAATGATAGAACTAATTGAAACATCCAAGTAGCTCATGAATTCCTGAACCCTAAAACATCAAATGACCGGACATAAACATATGATTGTTCGTTTTTCTCTCATACTTTTTGGTCACCTGACACATGCAGCACATGCATGCAAACTCCGCACCTGAACCGGTAAAGTGATTCATCAAACAGAACGCGTACTTGCAAGTTGAGATGTGATGCAGTGTGATTCGTTTGACACCTTCTTGGCCTTTTGGATTCAAACATCTAGTGGCTTCAGAGGCGACATGAAGCCCGAATAGTAGAAAGTGGCACGGGGATCGTGACTGCATAGCTTCGCTGGCTCTTGGTTGCTGAAGGGCATGTGGTTCTTGGGCTGCCCTTGTCGTGGAGCGGGGCAAAGGGATCAAAAAGGGGAGCACCACTGAGCAACTTGTGGTTTGCTCTTCCAAGGAAACTGGAAAACAAGGGGATGGGGGTGGCTAGGAAAACAGGAAAGTCTAAGTTCCTTGCGTAGACACATCTAATTTTCTGGGGATTTCCTCCCCCTCTTCATCCAAACTGAGTACTAGACCTGAAATGCCGCCTGCACAAGAAAGTGCCACCCCTCCAAACAAACAATCCCGCTGCCGTTCCGTGAAAACCAGCGCCTGCAATTCAGCACGAGCGAAGGGTGTAAAGCCTGGACAGGCCCCAACTGAATCAACAAAAGGCATGCTTTGGGTTAAACTTGCCGAAAGGAAGGGCTTGCTTACCCCCATTTGCTTAAGTCCCCTGCAAAAAATAACATACTTCCAGTGATAGTTTCCCTTTAAACCCAAGGGAACACAACACATATTCCGCAAATGGAAGTTTTTAAGTGGCGGTTGGTACAAAGGCGGGCCATCCCACTCCGAGCTCCAGACCCTCCAAACTCCGCCTGTCGAGGCCCATGCACTCCAAAAGCCGCAAGGGCGCCTGCCACTCCGCCTGCTGCTCACAAACGCTGATGGCTGCGCTGCAGCAAATCACGCTCTGCACCTCCTGCTCTGACTTCTGACTTGTTCTGTCTTCAGTTTTGATTGGATGTGGCTGGATCTTGTGACTTGACCTACTTTGCCCAATAATGGTTGAGGCTCTGATTGGTCCTCAACTGAACAGATTTAACAGCTGAGGCTCCATCTTGTGATTTGAGGACCATTTTTTTGCTCAATGATGGTTGAGAGCTCTGTATTTCCTTTCTTATCTCGGGCCATGTGTCAAATTCCTTCGACTAGAAATAGTTCTTGCTCATATCGCCATCCCGTCCTGCAGCATGGCAACAGCTTGCAGCCACTGAGTGGCAGCACTTAACCCCGCCCCATGCGTCACAACCTGGGTCTCGAGGCTGAAGCGTTCGCGCACGGGGCCCGTCTGTGGTTGGGCCATTTTTTCTTTGTTCTTCAACTGCACCTTGGCCAACAAAATCAACCTCTCATGCGGTCGAAGGAAAAGCAATTCACCTGGGTCTTGGGGCAGGCGCAAAGTCTGAACCCAGGCCTGTGCTTGAATCGCTCTTTTCAAAAAGGTGTTTGGTTCGACGCACGCACATTCACCAACAAGTTGTCATTCAAGCACTCGACGGAATTTCCCACCGCTTCAGCTTGCCTCAAACAAGCCCCTTGTTTCGCCCCTTTTGGAGGGGAACCGCGCCCCACTGTGCCCGAACAAACCTGGTGGTGTCAGCCAAAATGCAAAATCTGCCCGTCTCGAAATCGGCCAGGTGGCGTTGGGCTCGCAGTTCCGGAGGCGGATGCTTTCGAGGGAGCAGAAGGCCCAGGTCCAATGGCCGCAGATGGCGGAGTTGAAGGTGATGCGATCCTGGGACGTTGGGACCCGGGACCCGAAAAGTCCGACCCCCGGCGTCGGACCCGGCGATGGGCAGTTGGTTTGTCAAACATTGGACTTGGATGCCAAAGGCCGCAAAAAAGGCATTAACTATGGCATCATGAGGGAAGGAATTTGGGATGGTAAGGTGAGGGATGCCCTTTCGTTGGGTGCCAGGTGACGATCCAATACATTGGAAGAGATTCAGGACATCTGCCTGACTTACTTGTAACGCGGGACTAAACCATTCTGAATGATCAGCCCAATTACGAGCAATTCTGCAAAAAACAGCACAAATGCAAGCCAAAGACGCGTATGAATGCCAGCCTCCCTACCCTCCCTCCCTGTCGTAGCCTGAATCCTGAATGCAGGGAAACGCCGGCAAAAAGGCGCGTACTGACTGACGCAGCTGGAGAGGGTGCAATGCATCCAGCACAGGGGCCATCGAACCAAGAAACTTGTGGATGAGTTGAAGCTAATACATAGCTTCAAAAGCTTCTTTTTAGTGCTCCTCTGTGGGTTGAACATGGGAAAAGGAGATTCTCTAAACAAGGATGGTTTTGCGTTCCGTGCTGCTAATCTTCAAGAGTGCAATCCTTATCCCGCAAAAGTACAACGCAGTCGGTCATCGACAAGTCGACCAACGACGCATAGCCAACTCTCCTACCACTTTTCTGTTTCGTCGGCCAGCGAATGGCTGGTCTAGGTCTTGGGGGTTTGAACCTCTGACTTGGCCGAACCCCTGGAAGTTGTCAGGGCCACGAGCTCTTGCCACGTGTTTGAACCCTGGGTGTGTCTATCAAGGAGGTGGCACTGCTTCTCATTCGGGCGCTTGAAATCGGAGAGCCTGTGTGTTGCTTGGAAACGCGCCCTTATATGTCTCCTTCAAGGGAGGCTCAGGTGATGTTCAATCCAAGGAGTTTTGATAGGGATTCCCTCAAACCTGTCTTTTGGTGGGCATGGATGCCCATACACATGACATCCACATAGAACCTCCAAATACACTCCAGATGATCAGTGAAACTGGTAGGCTAGTATCTGGAACCGTCTTTGGTGCAAAAAGAAGCAACAGCAGGAGCAATTCAAATCAGAGCCACAAACACTACCACTGAAGAAACAAAACACATCAGCAACCGTTGTTCAAAAAGACGGAAACCCTCCAACATCATCAACTTCTTCTGTTTCTCCCACCGGCCGGGACCCGAAGCTCCGAGCATCGGCCCGGAGCGCCGCCCGGCCCATGGCCCGCAGCACCTCCGCGGCAGCGCGCCACGCGCCGGACGCGGACGCGGACGCGAGGGCCGTGTTCTGGGAGAAGCGGTCGGGCCGCAGGCTCCGGCAACGCAGACCTCCCAAACGCTGACGCTGGTAGGGTGGGTGCCAGGGGTTCGCGTGAGTTCCCCGAAAAATTCACAGGTCCTATGAACGCTGGGGTTTCAGGCGTTCTATGCGTTCTGCCAGACCTGTTGGGTCTCCCTCGACAAAAGGGGTTTCCCTCAAGTTTCCGGAAGCAGCAAACAAGGGTACCCTGCAAAAAGGCAAACCTGGCGAAATGGGTGGGCGAGTCAGCTGGGTGAATTCGTTCAAACATCCAGAAAACATCCATAACCCATCCTTTTGGCTCCAAGCGGATAGAAAGGTGTTGAAGGGACCGAGCCGCAAAACAGAAACCCTATCCATCCACGAATCTTCCAGTCGCTGGTGTGGTTTGCTTCAACGTCACATTCCTGTATCCCGCATTTTTGACCCCCGTTTTCGTTTCATTATTTCTTCTGAGGAAAAAGCTGCCGACCCACACCGGACCGGAAAAAAGGAAACGACGGCCGAGGTTCGCCTGCCACAAGGTGCAAGGCCCGGTGCCAGTCACAGGCCTTGATGCAAGCGTTGTAGGTGACGAGGCTAGGCTCCAAGCGCCTGATCGATTCCACCCAGCCAGCTTCGCTCGGTGGTTTGGCGGTTTGGCGGCTAGGCACCGTTTCCATTTTGAGAGCCACGGGTTCAAACCCGAATTCAAACCACCAATCAGGGGCTACCTGAAACAAAGAACATCTGGTTAAAGCAAACATCCTGTGGCTTCAAAAACATTGGCTTGGCACCTGATCGAAACAAATCACCGGATCCTTTGGATCTCCTTCAAACGACATGGCCTCAACGATCATTGTTTGAAAATTTGTTTGCGGCCCTTTCATGGTGACCAGGGCTGACTGTTTGGACCCTTTTCGCGGCGCCCTCGCCTGGGGGCGAAGCTTTCCAGCGCCGCCAGTGCCGCCGGCCAGCGGCATTGGGCGATGTGCGTGGTGCGGGCGTACAAATCGGCATCGCTCTGGGCCAAGGCCCGCGCCCAGTCCATCGGTGGGCATCCTACTTGGCTCTGGGGTCTCGTTGGACTTTTGTGCTGCTGCAGTTGCCTGGTGGTGTCAATTGAAACGTTCGCCACTTTGGGAGGATCGAAAAGGGAAATGGAAGAAACCCGGTTTGAATGAAGTGTCCTGAAGGGGATCGACAGCTTCATTCCCACCCACTGAGAACCAGCAAGCCGAAGTCGCTCTCAAACGCGTAGGCCGGGCATGGCTATGGAGTAAGGGCAACTCACCCTTGGCGCGCGGCAGGTCAACCCTTCCAACCCCAAGAAGCGATTTCGGGACCCAGAACGAGTTTCCTCCAAGGGATCGTGGCTTTTTGGGTGCCATGTCAACTTGCAGGTGGCGTTGGCTCATGCTCGGGCCTTCTCCTTGCGGCCAGCTTGCATCCCCTCAGTCGACTTACGCTAGGGGCCTACTTGCAACGGCGGACAAAAGAACCATTGTTCGCAAACAGAGATGAACGTAGAGGCTGACTAAAGCAACCGGGATTTCCTTGGCCATCTGTGCAGAAACATATCCTCGGATGCTGTTTCATACTTAGCCAACCCGGTAAATTTTGAGATGTCTCCAAGCAGCTGAAAGCTATGGGGTCTCTGTCCCAATTCTCCGGAGCTGTTCCGAGGTTCGTTGATGGTTGGGTTTCATGGAGCGGTTCGATGAAATTCAAGTGATTCTTTGGAATGCGCGAATTGGGAAGCAGCTTCTCCAAGATTAAAACCAAAAGGCCCTCTTCCCGCGCAGCTCCTTTTCCAGCCTTCCTCAAGGGCTGAACCAAAACTCACAGATTCACTTCCAACAACACGCCTGCTGGGAACTCAATGACAACTCAGCCAGGAAAGACGCTCAATCAGGTCATACCTCACCTTTAACGGGACATCCCAACAGGAAAGATGTTCAACACCAAGACTTCAAGAGGATTCCTAGGCTCGACTGGGGCAGGGGCAATCCAAGTCACTGATGGTCCAATACAGCTGCCGCTTCTTTGTGCTCAGAGCCCCCGCCACTGGTCCTGATGGCGGGCTTCGGGCGGGCTACGGGCTCATGCCAATGACCGACAAAAGCAACACCCATCACACACACACATATATATATATATATACATACATGTTTTTTCAATATATATATATATATGTTTTTTCTGACGTTTTAACCAAGAAAAAGCAAGCATCAGCTATTGTGCCACACATGTTGTAATGCTTCTATCAAAGAGAGCCAGCATTAACTATTGCGCCGTTAGGCCCTGGTCGACTGCTCCACTTTCCATCGTGACAATTCACATGGAATCTGATGAATACTGGGATAAACCACCTAGTGGGTGCAGGAACTTGGACTTTGTCCCATCCATTCTCAGGAAAGAGAGAGGATTGGTTGAAGGGCAACCCTTTGGTGTCAAATGAGGCGGTCGGGATAAAGGATTTGCTTTTGGGGAAACATAAGGGAATCCTTGGCCGTTCTTTTACGGAGCCTGCGCATCTTTACAATCGCCACCGGCCCCCCTTAGCCCAAGGAAAACCAAACAAATAGAAAGAACATCACTGAACCGCAACGACCAGAAGAACCCGCAAACGCCCAAACATTCGTTCCTGCGAATTTTGACATGGCTTTCTGTCGATCTCCATGCTTTATTTGCTTAAGCCCCCCCCAAAAAAAAGAAAAAAGAAAGAAAAGAACAACAAGTAGTGATAGATCCCCTGTAGAAACACATATTCTTAAGCAAATGGAAGCATGCTAATCTGCAGCCACGTTTTATGCACGTCCTGACTTCTCCTGGCTGCCGCCTCCGCTCGCCTGGCTCATGGACGAGGAAAGCCTCAGTTGTCTGCGGCTCCAGCAAAAACATACGGTGGATAAACAAATATAACTATAATATAACCTAGCACCAGTCACCATTGGGATGAAAAGCAAACCGCTTCGAAAAGCTCTGTGGAGAGCCCAGAGAACATCATTCGAAGTCTTTCCACTAGCCAGTTTTTCAAATCGGGCCAGCCCCTCTGCATGTGCCCTTTCGCTTTCCCTCCGCTCAAGAGGATTCCGTAGGTGTCCCTAACGGACACTGTAGAACAGGGATGACCGCGTTCGGCTCCATTTGTCTAAGCTCACTGAAGCAGAACTTGGGACAACTCGCTATGGTCGTGCTGCTTCGAAAGATCTCCTTGGCCCCACTCTGCACCCTCAGATTCTGCTTCTGGGGTGCCCTTTTTTTCAGGCTACCCTTTGTAGGAAATCAAAGGGAAACTGCCCCAAAAAGGCCCGACAAAAAAGACGCGCCACCTAGAAGTAGTCTACCCGCGGAAGAGTTAAACTGTTGGAAAGGCAAAACGAAGGACAATACGAAAAAGCTAGAAATCTGAGTCTGGCAATGCCCTCGAAATCATTTTGGAGAAGATCCCAGGGTTTGAGTCGTCCCAGCGTTTGAGTTGCCGATCCAGATCGACGAATCGATCCGTGCCGCGGCACGTTGGCTCGTCCTCCAACCGGTCGCCGCGGCTGGACCTTGCAGACTTGACGGATATGTTGTCTCAATATAGGGAGAATCAATTCCCCACACGTTGGTGGTTTTCTCTTGGGTTCCCTTGAAAACCGGTTAACAAAAAGGAGGTGGGGCGAGTGGATTCCCTAAATCGCTTACTACAACCCTTACTGTTTGGTGAGACGGGGTGGATTCCTGGGAGGATTTGCCCAAGTCCAAACTTGTTTACCACCTGGTCTTCCCGAAAAGTATGAAGTCCAAGAACTTGGAAAGTGAGAAAGTGACCCAAGTGACCCGCATCTGGAAAGTAAACACTGGTACTTCATTGGAGTCTTGTCACAACTTTGCGAGGGAATCAAGTTGAGGGCGCCGTTCTCGCAAGGGTGTTTTCTGGGACCTTCCCAAATCACCGTGGAGCACGGTTTCTGGGTCCCGTGAAAACCCCAGATGCGCGCCGTCCCCAGATCGGTCCCGTCAAGGTGCGATGGCGTGGACCCGAGGACTTCCGGAGTCAGGAAGCTCTCCTGAGCCAACGACTCCCACGGGGACCAAAGAGACAAATCGGGTGCGGGTCAGTCGGACGCGTGTGAGAGACTCTGTTCGGACATGTCGTGTGTCACCCAGTTGCTTAACAACGAAAGCTAGTGAGTCCCTGTGCTGTGGGAACCCCTGAAGCTGTGATTTGAGCCCGGTCTTGGAGACTGAGTCCGAGCTATTCTGAGCCGGTGTGTCAACGCAGCTCTCCTCATCGAAGATGGTGTACCTGGCCGGATTTGCTGGGTGGTCAATTGCGGCAGTCTGAGTGTGTTTGCTTTCTTTGTCTGTCTACTGCCATCCCCTTGCGTCTGGATTTGCCATGAAGCTAACAAATGGGTCATGACATGGTCACCCTCCAAGCAAAAGGAACCATGCCCCTACTGGGGGTCTGGCACGAGAAGTGCGCAGGGATCCTTTCAGTCTAAACTCCTGGGTTCATGACCCCATTTTTTCCCAACATGCTCCTCCCCCCAAAAAAGTTATACTCTGGATGAGCGAAACCCTGCATCAGTTCAGAAACCTTGGGAATACTGGGTGTGTGCATTTCGTCCATCCCCGCCATGCGGACCCGCAAATGGGTATGTGTCGGACCCCCAGCATGGTCGCTTTCGTTTTGCCATCGCTTCTTTCATCAACATGAGACTCACTTTCCGGGTTGATTGTCCCAAAAAAGTCCGAACTTTTTGTTTGCCACCAAAATGGCCTAAACCCAAAAAGCATCTAAAGTCCATGAACTCAGGGAGTGAGCAATCGGAAAGTCAACATGGATCATCACTCGTTGCACCTCCCGGAAAAAGAAAGACAAAAAACAAAACACCGTCCACCCTCAGGAAGTGAGAAAAAAGGGTACCCTGACTCAAACCCAACAAGTCGTGAACGGCTGCGCGCGTGCAGGCGCACTCCGCATCCCACTCGGGCTTGCTCACCCATGGCTCTGCTGCATGGGCCTCGTACCCCCCACAACAAAACCTCGACATACCTGGACGCAATAGGGAGAACATGGGTGTGAATACGTTTTGGTGGACATTCGGTGGGGATTCATGCGCTCGTGAGACTTTTGAGAGCAGACCTATGGTCGTTTTGGGGTGCGCAGTTCCGAAAAGTCAGACCTGGGGACGGGTGCAGGTAGCCATGAGCTCTGCGTGCGCTCCCGGCCTTGGGCACAAAGGCCGGGGTGTCTGCTGACAGCTGGGGACGCGCCGACCTCAGCCGGGCGCGTCGCCGGGCGCTTCGCAGCTGGGCAGCGTGAGGCCGCGGCTCAGGCACTCGGGGCACAAACTCCGCCGCGTCCACGCGCATGGCACACCTGACAAAGACTCGGCGTGGATGGCCCCAAAACAGTAACCAAACTTTCTATTTCAAAAACGACCTGCGGTCCCCTTCCAATCTCTTAAGTTATAGTTACCGCACTGGTCTTCCCGAAAAGTTTTTATTGTTAATGAACTCAGGAAGTGAGCAGCGTACAAAACGAGACTCACAAATACCAGCCATCTGAGTCTGCAACACGTGCCAAGAAACAAGCCGGAGCCTGATCAAGCGGCCACATCCCCATGCAAACTCCCACCAAAATTGCTGCAGCTGACGGGCAAGCGACCATCTTGGGCAGTCTCAAGCATGCTTTTGCCAAGCTCTGGGCAAGAGTGCCCTCATGGTGCAACCAGCAGGCAGTAAGTTCGCAACGGCATCTGTTGCAAAGGCTGCGCTTCTGGACAAATCATCATTTGACTTGCTTTCGGGGAGACTGCCGTTTAGCGCCTAATCCATAAACAATACATATACATATACACATATACTATATATACATATATATATATATATATGTATATGTTTTTGTGGAGTTGGTGCCCTCACCTAGGTTCAAAGGGACGCCAAAAGGAGCACGGTCCTTCTCAAGCTGAGGCTTCAGGCAATGGCGTAAGAAAGCGCCCGGTTGGGTTACGGGCTCCGCTGGCTGCTTTTCGACTCGCTTTCGCCGGCTGCGCTCGCCGCTTTCCTGGCAAATAACATCCACTCATGCCCTTTGAGCCTTTGGTAAAGCTAGGGAGTGGGGAAATATGGGGGATGAAAGGAGAATCTGTTTGTTTTGGGGCCCCCCCTTCAGAGGCAAACCCACTTCTAGTTGAGCTTCAAATGAGTTGAGGACCTCGGGCCTCTCAGCCCTCAACCGCATCCCCGCAGCTGCCGAATTCGAGCATCTCTTCCTCGCAGTCAGTGGCCGTTTCAGCAGAAACATGCAGAAATGGAATCCATTCTTGGGATTCGCACTCAAACGCTTGCAACCCCAGAGCCCACTATGCCAAAAGGGCAGCAGGCTGGGACTCTGCGCAACTGGGTCCTCTTTCACATCGAACTGAGGCACCTCATCCTCAGCCTCGCGGTGCAGTTTGGGGCAACTTTGCTGGATCACTGCCCAAATGCGTCCGTTTCCTGGCCTCTGACGCTGGCGATGGGCCTGCAGGGGTTCGAACCAAAGCGCTCGGTCAATGGGGTCAACTGCTTTAAACGCCGTCACGTGGTCATGACAGGTCAACCTTTCGATCACCCTCACCATTACCACCCAGGCTTCCAACTTCTGTTGCCAATTCCGGAACCACATGATCATATTTGTGAATCAAAACAGGTTGACACCAACATGAACACATGTAAGGTTGATTTGGCGCAGCAAGTAGAAAACATTGGCCTTCTTGTGTGTCAAACCAAAAACACCCAACAAACAGCAGGCACCACTGGCAGCAACTTTTGGCAACATGGGCGCGCCGTTTCGGATGGCAGGCACCCTTTTCTGGGTTCAAAGCAAGACCGCCATTTAAAGGGCCTCCCTGTTTTGAACGCAAGCCCAGTTCTCGCTTCCAGCCTTCTGCATCCTCGCCCTCCATCAAGGAGCTGCACCGAAGCTGGACGAACTTGGCTGTCACGGGGCACATCTCCTCAAATGGCAGCGCCCAGGCAGTCAAGACCGCCCCCTTCCGGGCGGCAAGGTTCAAGGCGTAGAGGGACCGGTTGTTCAAGGTCCAGTAAGCCTGAGCAAAATCAATGATACCAGAGCCAGCAAAACAACCGAGCAAAAACAACCCGGAAGTCATCTTAACTCGGGAACCGAAAAGGCAGCATTCAACCCACCACGAAGGACAAAACATGTTGGACACCCAACAGCGTGCCCAGTAAAAACACAGAGGAGAAGCAAACCAAAACCCACCAACACGCCACAGAACACAAAAAGACACGCTCCGCCCCCCCCTGTGTTGCTTTTTGTTGCACATTGACCTATTCACCCACTCCGCTGACATGATGGCTCAAGGCCCTTCAAGTCATTTGTACAGTCATTCGACTCATGGTGCATTGATAAAAAGGCTTGCAGACCGCTTTACAGGATTCACAGTCAACACAAGCCACCAGGGACAATCCATCCTCCAATGCTCCATATTGGCATATTGGACTCTCTCCGGAATAGATCCAGGGACCAAATCAACGACCTCTACTACCACAGGGTACCAGTTCCCTTCTGGGATAGGCACCCCGGCAGTGCGCCTCAATTTGTGGTAGCGGAGCGGGTTTACCGCAGAGATCCAAGGGAAGATGTCATCCGATGGAGAAGGCTTCATGGAAGCCTATTCAAGTATGGCCAAACCTTCAGGCTATACGGAGGAAACACTCAATTTATCGATGACCGCCAAGCAGCCGCCATCGTACGACGGAAAAGTCAGCTGGTTCAGGTATGAAGAACTCGTGGACGACTGGGTGACAATCACTACGGTGGAAGCACCCAAGAGAGGACCTCTGCTCAAGAGCAGACTCACAGGAGATGCCTATATGTACAAGGCAGTCCTCCAAAATTACCGTTTGCAAGATCCTGATGAAGGAGTCAACTACTTCAAGAATACGCTGAAGAAGTACTTTTTGAAAGGTGCGACCAACGTGTATCTGTACAGGCTCCTCAGTTTCTTCAATCATAGAAGGCAGAACCAAGAGTTCCTCATTTTTACCTCAAAATTCGAAATCCTTCTCATGAGATTGAAGGCAGCATGGATGGACTTGATGCCCGTTTTCACGGTACAGTCCCCATCATTTCGACAGTCCGTACAGGACGCAAATGCAAGAACAATTGCTCGACATCAGCAAGCAGCCGGTGTTCGAGCACCGCCTCCAGTCCATCCAACAGTCCTCAGACAGTATATCACGGGAATGCAGGACAGACAGCGGGACGCATTTCCCTTCAGACCGACTTCGAGATCCAGAACGTCCGAGTTCTGGCCTCCCGGTCGTTCACGGCTGCTTGCGCGGCTGCCGGAGGAGCGTGAAGTGCTTTGGCTGCGTGGCAAGCTGCACCTCGGGGATAATCTCATTGCGCAGTTTTTCATTATACAGACTGAATTGTCAGATCAGCAGAGAGAAAGACTGACAAGTGCAATGTCATTGAGAAACATTTCACTAGAGAACTACTCCTATGAGATGCTGAAGACGCACTACCATGAACTCTTCATCACGACCAGGACATCCATTCAAGATCCATCCATCCGACCTCAAGGAGGCAACCGAAGCAACACATTCTTCATCATCGAACAAGGTGAATACGAAGGAGAAGAAGGCTTTTGAAGGATTCATGTCAAACAACGATGAAGAGACATTCTGGGTCCTCGAGGAGAACGATGCGTTCATAGCAAGAAAAGTGTCAGGGCGGAATTTCAGATTCAAGAAGAGAAAAGGAAAAGGAAAATCCGGAAACAAAAAGGGCAGTCACCAACGAGGTGGCTTTAAACCCTTCAGAAAAAGCGGTTCTGGCGGGAAGGCCAATATGGTCAATGAGAACTATGATCCCTACGACCAGGCATATTGGGGAAAAGGCAAAGGAAAGAAGGGAAAGAAAGGAACATCAAAATTCCAATATCCCTATGATGGAAACAAGGGTTATCCACCCCCTGAGAATGGCAAAGGAAAAGGCGGACATGACAAAGCAAAATCCAAGACGTTCGCAGCCATCGCAGAGAAGACGGAGGAGCAGCCCGCCATCCAGCAGACTGCGCCATCCACAGAGCCTACCTATGCCGGTTGGACAGACCAAGATTGGGATCAATCATGGACATGGAATGAACAAGCGCTAATGGCATTCCATGACGCATATGAGCATCATGAGAAAGAGGCCATCCACGGGAAGCTGATCCAATCAGATGCAATTTCAGAACACAATTTGTCCGTCACAACAAATCACAGCCTTTTGGCAACAAAGCTGATGGCGCCTGTCCCGACCTATGCGATCCTGGACAACGGATGTACCAGATCCATGGGCAGCTGGCATGCAATCCAGCGTTTTACTCAGGCCATCGAACCCATGAAGGACATCATCTCCTATCAGTACATCCCGGTCGAGACCAAGTTCACTTTTGCAAGCGGAGAGACCGCCAGGGTAAATTGGACCCTGCATCTTCGATATCACACAACTCCTCCATGCAGTACCAACACCGATGTTCTTGAACAAGGAACTGTACCGATCCTCCTCAGCATCAGTCAGATGCGGAACCTCTACATGACCATCGAGCACACACCTCAATGTGACAAGATCACATGCAAGGCTTTTGGCATGAACCGTCAAGCAGTTCCGGTATCGGTACAGGACATGCACTCGTCGATCTCGCTGGAGTTGCAAGAGTGAAGGCACATGGAGAAATTGCTCATAAGGGCCTCACCAACTACGTCTACGATGATGACAACAGCTTCAAGTTTCCCTCCGGGGATATCTCCAAGAGTGAAACTGTTTGTGCAGCAAAATCATCCGAGACGAAGGAGGACCTAGCAACTCCTAAAATCATTGGGTCTCCGAAGCAGGACCATTGGATCCTTGACAAGAAGAACAAGCAGCTCATCCGTGTTCACATCACGCCTCGAAAGGCACTGTTCACACTAAATGGAGCCAAGGAATGTCCAATCAATCCTGATAACATTAGCCGAGAGCGTACTACGGAAATCATTGATGCATTCGAAGGTGGAGATCCAGACATCCTAGAAGACAATTGGAGACTTACATCCCAGGCAAACAACCAATGATTAAGCTGTGGATAGGTAAGACCATTTTCACCTTCGCGGACAATTCGCTTAAGGACGAAGAAGCAGGCTCAGGATCGGCAGCAGACAGGATCATCGACAAGAAGGGCCGGTCGACCATTGAGCCAGATCCTTTCGCACCATCCTCAGAAGAACCAACAACGCTTCCGCTTGCACTAGGCAGAATCCACAAGCGATTGTCAAATCCCGAAGAGTTGAAGAAGCTCCACCTCCAGCATCATCACATGACAACAGATCAATTTCGATTTAGAACTCGCTCACTTCATTTGCCGAAATCAACATTCGATCTATTTGACAAAATCAGAAGTGAATGTGAAGTTTGCCAAGCGGCAAAACATGCACCATCACGAAGCAAGACGAGCGGACTTCGAGCGGACACCTTTGGCGACATGACATTCATTGATCACTGTCAAGTTCCTCTTGGAACAGGAGAACATATCATTGTTTTTGTCATCCTGGATGGAGCAACAACATTGCTCACTGCAGAGGTAGTGACAACTACACAAGGAGTCGAGAACATCAC